AACAAAATCAAGGCAGAAAAAATAAAAATAATTCTTATATCTTAAAGTCGTTTGTTGTATTCAGCAGTGATTAAAAGTATTGTTGTAATTATTATAATATTGACAATTAGTAAAAAATATAAATTATTATTATTATTATTCAATGTTTTTAGGAGACTGAACGTTTAATACAAGAACCAGCACCTGGTATAAGTGCAATACCACATGAAGAAAACCTTCGATACTTTGATGTTATTATAGCTGGCCCAACTCAGTCACCATTTGAAGGTTAATAATACTAAACAATAATATATAATAATGAATAATGACATGATCTAATAAAAATATACTTGTATACTATTCTGGAAAAAAAAATAGGTGGAGTTTTTAAATTGGAACTATTTCTTCCTGAGGAATATCCAATGGCACCACCTAAAGTACGTTTTATAACTAAAATATATCATCCAAATATTGATAAACTCGGAAGAATTTGTTTAGATATTTTAAAAGGTATTTTCTTTTTTTTTTGGGGAGAATAGTATTCTATATATGTTCACTTTATACATACTCATCATCATCATCATTACTGTTTTGTTTTTGTTTTAAGACAAGTGGTCACCAGCTTTACAAATTCGTACTGTACTTCTTTCTGTACAAGCACTTTTATCTGCTCCAAATCCTGATGATCCACTTGCTAATGATGTTGCACAACATTGGAAAGAAGATGAAAAGGCTGCAATTGCAACAGGTAAACTAACTAACAACTAGTTAATTAATTAATTATGATAGGATTGAACATAATAAAAATTGAAAAATTAATTGATTTTTTTTCTACTGTATATATTTATAAATAAAATGAATAGCTCGAGATTGGACTAGGAGTTATGCTCAAGGTTAAGCAAGTAAAGAAAATCAATAGAATGGTGTTATTATCAAATTTTTTGAATATATATATTTTAGTTTATATTGCTTAAAAAATAGAACATTATATATATACTATTCATAAGTCATATTTGAAGAATATTTATATAAAGAAAATTCAATAGTTAATTTTTTTTCTAAGTAACAATAATAAAGATAATGATAATTTAATCAAGCCAATAATATAATATAATGCATTGCATAAACCCTTAAATATCTAACTTGAATCTTTTTTTTAACCAATCTCCTAAATTTCTTTTGTTCATACAATTTAGAACAATTGCATAATTTCCATTATTTGAAAATTTAGTTATATCGTAACAAGGAACATTCTTTAATACAAGTTCATATTGAATTTTTTTCCTAAATGTTCCTTTTCATCTTTTGATAATTCCTTGTTTCTTCAACTAATTGTAAAAAACAATTACTCTGACTTTCTGTATCAGATATCCTAATAGTTGAACAGACATATTATTATTATTATTATTACTATAAGTTCAAATGACACTTTTAAAGAAAAAGAAATACTTTTTTATAATTGTCAAATTTTTGTATCAATCTTTAAAAATCAATAAATTCTAATGACTGTGACTTTGCTAATACTAACTAATGATCTGTGTAATGAATGTCTTTACCATTATTGTTTTTTTTTTACATGTTTGAATGGGGAATAGCGTTAAACAATTTAATATTTCTTTAAATCAATAATAACAGCAGTGACAGCATTGGTAGTGGTTTAAATTGTTCCAATTTTCATTAACAGAAGCAAAACCCTTCTTCCGCCATTCAAATAACCAATAATAATGATGATGATAATAATGTTCATAGACAAGAGAAACAATCACAACATTAATAATGATATAGTATTAATGACAACAATGACAATGCAATTTCTTTCTATAATAAAATTCCCTAATGCCACTATTGTACCTAATATCACGAAAAAGAATGCTATTAAAAATTCTGATTCATATCAACATAAATGTTCACCTCCAATTGCTACCACCACCACCATCACCATCACTACAATAACCACTAATATAAATACTAACACTAATAATACTTGTTTAAATCTTTATCAACATCACCCTCCTCATCCTTTTCTACTCCTTCTTCATCATCTACTACTACTACAATTACTAATGAAATTACTATCATCAATAACAAGAACAATAATGCATATTTTTACAAACAGCTGCTCGTGATAAACATCAAGAATGTATTAATATGGTGGAAAATCATGCAGTTGCTTATGAGTCAAGGAAAAGAAAAGAGAAGAGGTAGAACGGTTGACGACAGATAATATTGTAATGAAATCAAAGATTTATAATTTGTAACATAGAATTAATGAATTGATAAAGAAAATGAATTTATTTTATGATAAGGAAAAATTGACACAATAATCAAGTTGTTTTTAATTATTTATTTATATTTTTGTATTATAATTAATTATTATTATCCATTACTATTATAATAGATGATATACATATACATACACATTTAAATAATCATAATCTTTTTATAAGCAATAAAAAAATACATACAATTAATAAATAGATTCTAAATGGATAAACAATAATAAAAATAATGCTCTTTAAATAAGAGAAAAAGGAAATATTTATTTATTCATAATCATTTTGTTGATTTTTTTTGGTGCGAGGAGGTTGCCTCTGATGCTGCTGAAATTGTTGTTGTTGTTTTTGTATGATATTACCACTAACACCTAAAGGCACATCATCATCTTCATCATCCTCATCATCAGCATATTCATAATAAGAATTTCTTTGTGAATTAATAGGTGGTGCCAAATCATAATATGGCTGATTAGAAATAAAGCTACTTGA